TGTCTTCGAGCACAAGCGCCGCCTTGCGTGCCGCCGCTCTAAATCCTTGTCTATCCGTTGACCTTCTGAACGTGCGCGCGTGCAAGAATGGCTTTGATTTTACTACAACCCGCCCTGTAGCGTACGGCGCCATCGACGAACACGCGATCGCCAACGTCTTTGTGTGACATCATTCCTATATTTTCGCGCGCTCACAGATCGGGGTTCTGTTTTCGAGCGCGAGCCGCCACCACCTTGTGCGTATCATACTTTTTATCGGCAAACCGTGAATCATCAGTTGGGCGCGTCCGTTCGTCGTCTGCCTGTCTGTCTCTCTGTCTGTTTGACGCACAGACGGACGTATGGACGGACCAACGTATGAATGAACGCACGGACGGATGCAAGAACGAATGGACAGATGCATGAGAGGACACATGGACAAATGAATGTACGGTTGCATGAATGAACGGTGAATGGACGGACGGTTGCGTGGACGCACGGACGGACGCATAGACAAACGCATGGACAGACTAATGGACGCACAGATTAACGCACGAGAAGATGAATGAACGGACGCACGGACACATGCAGGGACGGACAGACGGATGGACAGATGTAGGGACGGATGGACGGATGGATGGAAGCAAGAGCGAACGAACGGATGGAAGCGTGGACGGACTGATGGACGCTTCGCAACACTAATCATCATTCACTCCATGGATATGCTGTGATTCTTATAATTTATCATACAAGTAACGCCCTCTAGTATCGTACCATTTGCATTTTGCAGCGTATATGCATTTCGTTATATGTACAAGTACCGCTCTCTACAACCGGTTAAAGAACTAACGAGAGGTGGCTACGTACGAATATGACGGGACGCTCAGCCCACAACTTCATTGCTCGACCCTTACAGCGCGTTGTACAGGAAGTCAAAGCAACGCATGGGAGTGCTGCGACTCTGAACAGGCAGCGCCATTTTTGGTAGAAAAGTAGAAATCAGGGATGTACATCGCGCGTTTTCTCTTCCCGACAATGCACTGCCGCTCACCTACGTGCTCGTGCAGAGAGCGCTCGCTGCGTTTGAGTCACCTCACACTGAACCGCCGGCATTGCGGCTTCATAAGGATCTCTCATCTGGACAGGAACTTCCAAAAGCGAATCTAACAAAAGGACTAAAGCTCGTCAGTCATGTTTATGATACGGAGCAGACGACGGAAGATGAGGACGCCCGAATCACTGCGAAATTCATTTCTCAAGTCGTCCATGATAATACCGTATAAGACGTATGCCTCGAAGTAAGTCTCATTCTGCTGACATGAAACCGTGTACTCTATCGATGTGCTGTGTGGACGCTTGCGGAAACCATATATTTGTTGTTTTGATGTAACATCTAGCAGTAGCAGACGTGTAGTGTCATGTGCAAACGTTTGCGGCGTTCTACAAAATAAATAGAAAATAAAGTTGTACGGTCATGGCATAAAAATGTCCGAGAAGTTTCAGAGTCATGGCCTCCACGCCGAGCATGACCAACTGACGTCACTGCGAAGCAGCAAGCTGAACTTGACAGCCAGTTAAGTGCTTGCCTCGTTTTTTTTTTTTTTCTCTGGCTTTCGTGTCATGCTTGCCTTATCTTCCGCCAACGCAGCTGTGTTCGCCGGCTGTGACTTGCTGGAAAACTGATACAGCTTTACACGTGAAGAGCGACTCTTGGTGCTATCTGCATTGTTGTGGCAGCTCACAACACAACAATACTTCGGATCTCACCGACGAGTCCATGGGGCCACTTCTATCACGGAAAGACAGCTTCCAATAGCGAGCGTCTCGTTTGAGGCTGCCGAGCTGACGGTACGGCGCCTAAAAGTTCTCCGCACCGACTGCAGAACGCGTTGAGCGCGTGTCGCACGCACTCCCCTATCGGCGAAACAGACTCACACGCCTGCGACCTCTGCCCGCGTCTCTCCTAGAGTTTTCCGGAGCTCGCCGCCAGGGCCAGGCGCGGCGTCGTCATCGCTCCGAAAACTTGAGCTTCGGTTCCCTATATACAGAAAAAAAAAGGCACACGAAACGAACGCACAAGTACACACAGGACAAGCACTGACAACTGTCACAACTTTCACTTCTTTGTGCGTAAGTAGTACGCTTATTTTGTAATTGCAGCTGCGGTAGCTAGAGAAGTGACCTTGCTCTCTGGAATCGCGCAGAAAAGATCACGCCCCGTGGAGACAGCGCTCCACGAAACGCCAGAAGCGATGACCTTAGGAGCAGACCCAATGCCAGGGAGTCTTTATGTGCTCGCTGCGAGGCGGTGAGCACATGAAGGCACCCTATAAAATCATCATCATCAACATCATCATTATCACAATCATCGTCCTCGTTTATTTTCTCTTACAGGCCCCTTTTGGGGTAATACATAAGGGGGGGGGGGAACATGAAAGTTAGACACGAGACTTATCAGGTCACAAATTCGAAACCCATCTCAGTGAAATTGATTACCAGTTTATATGCAAAATAAAAACATTTTAATTTAATGAGACATGGAGAACAGTGTAAGGTCGTAATGAATATTGCAGCGTGAGGAGATTAGTGCGCAACTGCTTAAATACGATGGGGTCATGCTCGGTGACAACACTATCTGGCAATGTATTCCACTCTGCAATTGCGATCGGCGAAAAAGATTGAAAGAAGACGTTGAACCATGCAACCACTGCATGCTGAAGGAGTTAAAAAAGGCGACGAGATGTGTGGTGTGGGGGTTTAGGAGTTTACAACGAAGTTGAGGAAAGTTGTAATAGAGCCTATATGGAACAAGCACAGCCTTACAATCTTACGTCGGAATGACAATGACTCGAGTCCCAGGGATGACTTTATGGCACTGATGCTTTCATCACGGCTGCACCTAGAAGAGATGAATCTGGCCGCACGTTTCTGTATGGTTTATAAAACGTTAAGGAGGTATGCTTGGTGAGGGCTCCAAATAGCTGATGCATATCATAGCTTACTCCGTATAAATGTTTCACACGCCAGTTTTCGCGTGGCTGAGGGACACAAGGAAAGGGAACGTCTGTGTAACCAAGTGATTTAGTAGTATGGGCAGCTAATTTTGCGCTGTGATCGGACCACGTCAACTTGTTATTTATTGTGAGACCACTATAATGATATAATTCGACGGAGGACAAAGCTAGCGAATTCAGGGAGTACGCGTAACTATTAATTGAGTGCTTACGGGTTATCTGCATCACTTTGCATTTTGAGACGTTGAGCTTTATTAATGAATCGGAACAACAGGTTTTGATTGGATAGATCTAAATCAATTTGGATGATATCATGGTCACTATGGTGTGCAATGCGCCTATAAAGAACACAGTTATCTGTAAAAAGTAGAGTGGGAGATGAACTGCCGTTAGGAAGGTAGTCTATGAAGATGAGAAAGAGCAGAGGACCAAGGACGGATCCCTGTGGTACTCCAGAAATTACATCAGTAGTGACTGAACATCGATTTCCGACAACTGTGTATTAGAGGCGATTTGTCAGAAAGCAGCGGATCCATGACAATGCGAGGGGGTCAAGCCATAGGCACGCTAATCTACTGATGACGAAAACGCGCTGAAGCTGAGGAGCTCCGAGGACCGCCAAAGGGTATATGGTGTAATAAGCGGCTTGCTGTTAGCGCTGTTATCTGCATGCGCATTGTGATTGTGGTATAGTGTTTAGCGCTGCGGTTCAAAAGTTCTCCGGTTAGACACCCTGTGGTAAGCATTAGCATGTAGTTTTAAATGCGAGGCATGTTTGTTGACTTTGAGCGTATCTATCTATCTATCTATCTATCTATCTATCTATCTATCTATCTATCTATCTATCTATCTATCTATCTATCTATCTATCTATCTATCTATCTATCTATCTATCTATCTATCTATCTATCTATCTATCTACATTGTAACGAGGGCAGTGGGCACGGAGCTCCTGCTTCGCCGAGTCAACTCCTGCTTGTTCAACAACCCGTTTCAATATATATATATATATATAAATATATATATATATATATATATATATATATATATATATATATATATATATATATATATATATATATATAAACGCACAAGTACTTTGTATGCTCTTTTTGTATATATATATATATATATATATATATATATATATATATATCTACGCCCCGCTGAGGTGGTCTACTGGCTAAGCTACACGGCTGCTGACCCGCAGGGCGTTGGTTCGAATCCCGGCTGCGGCGGCTGCATTTCCGATGGAGGCGGAAATGTTGTAGGCCCGTGTGCTATGATTTGGGTGCACGTTAAAGAACCCCAGGTGGTCTAAATTGCGAGAGCCCTCCACTCCGGCGTCTCTCATAATCATATAGTGGTTTTGGGACCCTAAACCCCACATATCAATCAAATCAATTATCTATCTATCTATCTATCTATCTATCTATCTATCTATCTATCTATCTATCTATCTATCTATCTATCTATCTATCTATCTATATATCTGTCTGTCTGTCTGTCTGTCCGTCCCTATCTATCTATCTATCTATCTATCTATCTATCTATCTATCTATCTATCTATCTATCTATCTATCTATCTATCTATCTATCTATCTATCTATCTATCTATCTATCTATCTATCTATCTATCTATCTATCTATCTATCTATCTTGCCACCTACGACATTTAGCACAGAATGCGAAATGCGAAAGAATACGCTTAGAATGCGAAAAGCCATGTTTGGAATAGAGCCCGTGCGAGCTGCATCATAGCGCTCATCAGTTTTCTCAACAGCCGACGTTGTGTTCGTCGTTGTCATTGTGCAGTGTGTATTGCCAGCGGCCGTGGTATCGCTGTTGTCTAACTTACCGTTTCCCGGCCGCACGTTCAACCAAATAAAAAATTTCATCTAGGACACAGCGACTGCTGCTTTAGTTAGCGTCACGACCCTGCGATAATATGAGTGAATAGTTCACAACTAATCGCTGCACGAACAGAAGCCTTATTCGACGCGTTCATTCTTTATACAAAAAACACCTTTATTCCGAACAGGGAATGGCAATCTGCTTGGCTAAATGCGACAGGGGGTGGCAATCTGCTTGGTGAAGTGCAAACTGCACGTTTGTTCTTTCAGAAACGTCCACTATTTTACTAGGGCTTGACACAGACCATGTTGTGGCATATCTGTAAAAGAAAAGATGGATGAGAAAATTGATCTACTCGTTTCCTGCTTAGAAACGATATCACGCGATTTACAGTACTGTGAATATTAGAATAAAGTAAAACCTGTGCATGTCTGATTAATATGACTGTTCTGAGAGATGTATGCTCTCCCCATGCGATTGAAAGTTGAATTTCCCAAAATTGTCAATAAAAGGTTCCGGAGGATCTACTTTTTTTTTTCTCTGTGTACGCATTTATTCCGCTTGTGTGAAGCAAACGCAGGGACATCTTTTCCCACGAAGTATTTATGAGTGTAACGAAACGTTAGCTTACGCCTTTGAAGATATGTTGCTGTACTGCTGTGGCGTATATTTGTTCTACAGAAACTGTTGATTGCAAGTAAGATAATGACACATGCACAGCCTCCCAAATCTTTAACCATCTTGCGTAAGTGGCGACCTTTCTGTGCGTCAGCGCCATATGGCGAAGTCTAGTCGCAAAGAGTCGAGGGCAAGAAAAGAGCATGTCCGTAAAGCACGCTCAGCTGCGCCTGTCGTTTGCTGGGCTCCTTCTACTTGAGAACTTCACCTTCTATTGTCTCGCTTCAGGTGAACAGACAGCGTGAGCTCGCTAATAACTTCTGTCATATTTCTTTTTTTAGAAAAGACGTTGCAGTGAAAAACAGAGAAAATATTTTGGAGGGGCCCTGAAACACTTTTTTGAGTAATTATTGAAATAATTCACTGGAAAAGCGTACTGCCTCACAAATTCGAGACCGCAAATTTTTTTAGAATCCGTCCAGTACGAGCGGAGTTACAAAGATTTCTCGCACGCTGCAAACGCATTCTCTCTTTTGCTGTTCCGACGAAAGCGCTGGAAGCTAAGCAGGGAGGGGTGGGCGAGGGCCAAACAAAATATGTCACGCACGCCTTGTGACCTTAAATATATTTTCTTTTTTTTTCTTCGAAAACGCGGCTTTTTTCTCAGTGTGATCGTGCGCGCACTCAAGAATAAGTGCCAGCCTCCCTCGGAGATCTCTGTAACGACCGAGCGCGCCATGTTCAAATCAGTCAATGGCTGATAGGTGGGCTCACTAAGAGTGGTAGACGAAGAAGGGGCTTAACAGCGCAAACCACAGGAGGGGATAGAAGAGACGAGTTCAGAGCGCTCAACCATCTCTTCTATCCCCTCCTGTCGTTTCCGCTGTTAAGCACTTTCTTCTCCTACCATGCAGCCCCAACCAGCCCAATCAAGCACCTTGTTAAAGTTTACTAAGAGTGATTTTTAGGCATATAGTGATTTGTCGAGAGATTAAAAAGCAATGTTTAGCTGACTTTGATCATTTAATGTGAATTTTAGGCAAGGTACTGCGTTATATTGTTTGGCTCGCTTGTTCTCGAGAGCCTCTACTACCGATCGGCAGCATTTTCTGACTATGCTCAAAAAGTGGTGCAGGGCCCCTTTAAAGATACGCACTCGTACACACTCACGATAAAAGCAGTAAATCTACCCATTAGTTGCAAAACCTTTTACATAGATGTGAAAGGTTTCGCTAAGCATGGAAATATTTTTTTTGTATATATGTCTTTTCGAAGACTTGCCACATGAACGGGTAATCAGGGGTGCACTCTTAGTTTTCACTTGCCCTAGAAGAGTAAAAACATTTCTCACCTTTTGCGGTTCAGTTTCAGAGCAGGGTGTCCCATCTATCGCAAAAGACGTGCGGTTCTGCATCTTCGCATGGCTGTAAGTATCGTGTACCAAGCAGCGAAATACGCACTGCTCTAGGTCGGATTGAAGCTGTAACAAAAACAAAAATGTCGATGCAGAACTTTCCCCTCGTGGTATAGCCCTGAGTTCTTACGTTCTATTTAATAATACATCTCGAGGTCCAAATAATAAAACTCAATTATACCAAGTTCTCGATGAGGGAAAGAACTTCCATATTTGTGCAGGCACACCCGTATGGTTCCATGTGGCCGTCACATAGAGTAACGAAACTATACCTTTTCTTTCAAATTTGTTTTTATTGAAAATGACTGGCGAAACAGCGACCATTTACTTCTACCTTTGGCAAAATAATTTTGGTACGTGGGATTCAACGCTATCGCTTCAAAACATATGGTTCTCTTAGGCAGGGTATACGTTTATCTTGACAGGGATGTGCGCCCCGCCCTTTCACTTCCAACGAACGTGGTAGTCGTGTGCGTTCTGATGTACTTGAAGGTGCTACGGCCCTAGGTCGGCACTTTGAAAGACTACTCACTCATACTCACTCACCACAATTTCTTCAGCCTTCACCCTCACTCATGTTCATACTCACGTCTACTCTCACTCATAGGACCTCACTCACGTTCATACTCACGCGTACTCGCACTCAGAAGTCGTCTCTCATAATCATATAGTGGTTTTGGTACGTTAAACCCCACATATCAATCAATCGCAATTATGAGTACTCACTAACGTTCATACTCCCTCCTTGTCACACTCAGAGTACTCACTCACGTTCATACTCACTCCTTCTCACACTCAAAGTACTCCCTCACGTTCATACTCACGCCTACTCACACTCACTCTTATTCACTCATGTTCATACTCACTCCTTCTCACACTCAAAGTACTCACTCACGTTCATACTCACTCCTTGTCTCACTCAGAATACTCACTCACCTTCATATCACTACTACTCACACTCATGAGTACTCACTCACGTTCAAACTCAATTTTACTCGCACTGAAAGTACTCATTCACGTTCATACTCACTATTACTCATACTCATGAGTACTCACTCACGTTCAAACTTACTCCAAGTCACACTCCAGGCCCTCACTCACGTTCATACTCACGACTACTCACACTGATGAGTACTCACTTATTTCATACTCATGACTACTCACACTTGTGAGTACTCACTCACGTTCACAGTCACGCCAGCTAGCACTTATAGGCCCTCTCTCAAGTTCATACTCACGACTACTCACACTGATGAGTGCTCACTCATGTTCATACTCATGGCTACTCACACTTATTGTTCATGGCTCACGTTCATACTCACGACTACTCACACTCTTAGAGAAACACGGACTGCTGGGCGAGTTGGTAATTCAAATTAACTGAGGTGCGCGAAAAATTGAAGTACAAAAGGAAGACATCTCGAGACAGCGTGCCATGTCCAGGTGTCTCCTTTTTGTACTTCAATTTTTCGTGCACCTCAATTAAGGCTCATAGTTACTCACTCACTTTCCTACTCGCACCTGCTCAAGATCAGAAGCCCTCACTCACCTCCGCACTCGCATAAGAATTCACCTTCATACTTACGCCTGCCCATACTAAGCGCACTCACCCACGTACTTTTACATTCACATACTCATCATCATCCAGCAGGACAAAGGCCTCTCCCCTGTTCCGCCAGTCAACTCGGTCCTTTGCTTGCTGTTGCCACTTCATACCTGCAAACTCCCTAATCTCATCTGCCCACCAAACTTTGTCTTCCCTTTTCCCGCTTTCCTTCTCTTGGAATCTACAAAATAACCGGCAGAAAACGAAAGCAATGAACAACAACCTCGAAAGAAAACAGCGCTTCTAGATAGGTGGCAGTGCACTTGAAGTTGGAAAAGGTATATACGTCTACTTAGGACAGGTAGTAGCTGCGGAGTCGAGCCACGAAACTGATGGAGCTAGAAGAATAACCCCCGAATGCAGAGATGTTACTTGACTCGTACTTGACTCGTTCTTGACTCAAGACAGTCTTGCCGGTCGCCATAAATCGTTCTCGAACTTGCGGATGACTTGAAGGCGACTTGGCTCGATCGAAGTCAGGACAAGTTTCAAGTCAGCTGCGGGGCTAGCTTGAAAGTGACTTCACGCGTTATTTCAACATGGCCACCTCACGAATGGACGTCGCGTGAAAGGTGGCCGCTTTTGAGTCTGCTTGCCGCGCCATAAGCGTAGCATTTTTTGAGGCGCAATGCCTGCCGAAGATTCTTGGAAACGCTTTACGTGACCAAGGAATTCCGCGAGAGTTCTACGACGAGCAACGATTCCACGCTAGGTACAGATTCATGAAGAACGCCGTGGGGCAGCTGCTCGTTATGTTGCCGCTCCGTGAAAGTGGGGACAACCGAAGACAGCCCGTGCATCCAGTGTTACAGCTACTCATGGCTCTCAGGTTTTACAGCGCAGACACATTCCAACCAGTCACCGGAAATAAAGTCCGCATTGCGTAGTCGACAGTGTGCCGTGCAGTCGGGAAAGTTACGCTACTCATTGCAAAGCACCTGTAACGCGATGCTGGTGCGCTTTCCGCAGCCGGCGAACTGTTATGAAGTGGCTGAGTTCCCTTGCGTTACAGGTTGTGTCGACTACACACACGTGCGTATTAATAGCCCCGGTGTCGACTACGCCGAAGTGTTCCGTAACCGCAAAGGCTATTTCTGTTTTTCTATAACACGACGACATTTTCCATCTCTTTCGGTAAAAAAAAAAATTGACTGTGTGCTGTGTCCGTGTGCCTCGTCTATCCTTTCGTCCCGTCTTGGGCACTGCTTCTCGCTCAGAAAGGCATCGCTTGTAGTACATCGCTACGTAAAATTACACACACATAAAAAAAGAGGTGCCCCTATCACGGGTTTTTTTTATCCGCGTCCCCATGATGCAGCGATGCATTGCTGCACTCCGCGAGACAGAATTCTGCTGAGGGCAATGTCCTGACCCCCGCTTTTTCTCTTGTTTAACAAGCTCAACAAGAGGATACGAATCACATTTCTTCTCAGAACTTCTATTTTTTTTCATAATAACTGCGACCTAGCCCATTACAGGCATGCACACAGGCGAACAGAAAGGCAAATACCATGGAAATCGCGTCACCTCGTGAGCCAGGTCAGCACAAATACATGCCATGGTGTTCGATTGAGAAAAAAAAAAACGACGAAAGAACCCAACGCGATGCTTGTTTCGCCTCCAAACAAGCAAGCGTGGAGAAACGCACCGCATTTGGGTGGCCACTAAAGCCAGCGGGCAACGAACGCTTTGCAGAAGCAACACTGCGCATCGCTGTGGTGGCAAGCACTACATGCCGCTCGTTAGCCGTAAAATGGCAAGAATAAGCTTGTGGCCCTTCGTTTTTATAGTTATATCAAAACGTATGGTCTTTTTTTGGTGTAATGCATGCCTTACGCGAACAACTTCATTATTACCCTCGTTAGCAGGCGAGCAGCGTGTTTCTGCTTTGAAGCTCGTTCTTGACTTGACCAAGCAAGACAGCCTGAGCATCTATGAAACGCGAAGGCTGACTTGGGCGTTTTGAAGTCCGCTGCTTGCTTCGCGCCGACTTGCTCAAGTTAAGTTGAAGTTGCAAGCCAAGTAACATCTCTGCATTCGGGGGTAAGAGTGGGGTAAAGAAGATTCGGCAAGCATTTTCAGCTCATGGCTGGCAGATTGTCACTACCTCCTCAAGACGAAGGTAAATAACAGCTGCATCTTGCCGGTACTTACCTACTGAGCAGAAACCTGGAGGCTTACAAAAAGGGTTCAGCTTAAATTGAGGGCGACGCAGAGAGCGATGGAAAGGAAAATAGTAGTTGTAACCTTAAGAGTCAAGAAGAGAGCAGAGTGGATCGGTGAACAAACCGGGGTAAGGATATTATAGTTGAAATCAAGAAGAAGAAATGGACATGGGCCGGGCATGCAGTGCGTAGGCAGGATAACAGCTGGTCATTAAGCATAACTGACCGGATTTCCAGAGAAAGAACACGGGTTAGGGGAGACAGTAGGTTAGGTGGGCAGATGAGATTAGGAAGTTGGCGGGTACATAATGGCAGCAGCAAGCACAGGACCGAGTCGAGTGGTGAATCATGGGAGAGGCCTTTGTCCTGCAGTGGACGTTGTCAGGCCGATGATCAATAATAATATTGAGGTTGCGTTACGTGTACTCAGCTTACTCAAGAAACAATCGAGCTGAACAATTGTCGCTTTCCTGTTAGGGTCGGTAGGCTCCACAAACGGGCAATTACTCAGCGCAATTACGACGCACCTGCACATTCATTTGCGTTACAAGCACTCAAAACGCGCTTTCTTAGGCTACGACGCACGCGCGCGAAATAGAGACGCTCTCGACAGCTTCAGTATACTACACGGCCGCCGCTATGATTACCCGCCAGAACCCAAGACGTTGCCATGCCATCCGGCTTGGCCGCTTCGTTCGCTCCACTGCCCTAGCCCCTTCTGACTGCACTAGCGAGACAGGCGGGCGCCGGGGCCTCGCCCCCACGTCGGCGCCACGGCCACCCCGGCCGCCCGGCCACTGATAGGTGTTCTGTGGCCCGGCGCGACCGTCGAGACGGCGCCTCCCCTCTCTGCCTCGCCTTCAGATGGAATGGGTTGCGTACGGCAGTTTTGCATTCGAGAAATTGTGCGCATCTTCGGAGATGTTTTTCTTCCTCTGTGGGTTGCGCTCACGCGGAGACTTCGTTGGCTCCGTGCCCGCACTGACGATTGCAGGGGGCCTTATTTATGGATCTGTGGACGCGGTCAAGGTTCATTGGAAGTGTGCGTACGCAGGGTTATCGCGGACAGCCGAATGAAAAGGTAATTAACGAGTTGCGTTATGTGTGTTTTTGTACTAGCCCGCGTTATGTGAATGATAGAAGAAATTATCAAGGGTGATTGAGCGCTTATTGCACATTGTGTCTGCACTGTTGAAGGCATAATAAGCCGCCGAAAAGTGAAGCGAGGGTAGAGATTGAAACGGCGATGCGAACTGGGTCCGATTACGCTATCGCATACTATAATATTGACGGCG